TTTTGTTCTCATCTCGGGCTTGTGTTAGAGCGGTTCTTAACGACACGATTTTTAACTGTGTTTACTTAAGGTCGTCAGTTAAGTATGGGACACTATTAAAGTCACCGGCGCACAGTGTAGGAATTTCTTGATCTAGGAGGAATTTAAATATTTGTTTTTGCAATAATTGATGATATAGTATAATTTGTATAAACCTAAGGCTCTATTTGAGCTACATATTAGAAATTCTTGTAGTTAGGTGAAAAAATAATAATAAAAAATGTTAAAATGGGTAGATAATAATTGTTGTATTCTCACAACACGAACAACCATATTAATGTGTTACCTTCACTTAGGATAACTTATTAAATGAACGTGCAGTCTTGTTTATTAGTTTTTTATTTTATTCTGTATATATATTTAGGGAAAGTCAGTGTATTTTTGTAAAGTAATAGTTTTAAAATATTGATCTAATAACAGCATTTGAAAGCATAGTTAAATTAAGCATTTTTAGAGATGATTCGCAAAATAAAAGATGTGTAGAAAAAAATGACCTGAATATCTCGGTGTTCTTGTGGTATTATTTTATAGCTTAGGGTCTTAACTTTTGAGAACAATTGATACAACTTGCGATTACGTGCGACCGTCATACAATTTTTTTCGGTTTTCAGAATGACCGCCGAAAATACAAAAAAAACAATATTCTGATATTTGGACCTCTAAGGCCAAAAATGAGCGAATTGATGCTGTTTTAGCTTTTATATTAAGTCGTTACCCTCAAATGCAATTTTCGGAAGTTGCTATAAATGAAATTAAGATGCTTTTAAGGAGGTTATTTAACAAATTCAATGAAAAATGGACAGCCAGCTTTAGAGATCGTGAACGCGGCGCGGCGCCGCGGTGCTAGCGACGGTTTGAGGTTGGTACAAAGAAGCTTAGCCGGCACCGGCCCGTAGAATTCGTCTCGTTAACAATGCGCCCTTATTATTGTTTGAAAGTATGGCTATAGCCTATTTTACATCAAATCCGGTAGTTCTGATTATGCAGACTAGTTTACAATTCTGATGTATAAAACTGAACTAAAATTTTCGGAAACTATTGAATCTACAGAGACAATTCCAATCCCATTTTTTTTTTCATTTTCCTTTTGTAGAAAATTTAGTCCCATTTAAAAACATCCTTTTTTATCTTATTTCGCAATTTTCATCTTAACTATAGGACTTAAAAATAGCGTGGGGTACCCTCGTAAAAACAACTTGATTACTTTCAGAATGAGGATCATTACTAGCTAGGTCAGCAAATCAACTCAAAATCAATAGTATAATGATCTAATAAGCTTTTTAATTAATATACTTTTTAAATTATCAAAATCGGTTCATTCGTTGCGATTTTATAAATAACTAGCGGCCTCCCGCGACTTCGTACGCGTGGAGTTATTAAAGGTTCACTGCTCAAATTTCATTTATATAATATATAAATAAAAATATGTAATTTACGGTAACTAGCAAACCAGTGACCAAATGTTCACCAAAACCTGATTTAAAAAAAAAAGTATTTAATTAATTGAGAACTTCGGAGATTTTGGGTGGTTTTGTTTGAAATTCGTGATTTCTCGAAAACCGGAAGTGCTACGTTACTCAAATCCGGTTTGTAGTCTTATCAGACTATTCTTAACTTATAACTTAAATATTCTCTTTATCTATCTCTTACGGTTTGGCCGCTGAAACAGCACCACAGACAGACGGACGGACTTGTCTAATAGATAAGAGATTAAACAGAACACATACACGGTAAATACACGGTAAGTACTGTTGTATTAAGTTAAATATCTCATTGTGTTGACTCGGTGAATTTTTGGTTATTGGAAGCACTATGGTCATCACTTGTCACGCTATGAACGCCATTTTGTTTTTCATTCTGCTCCCGAATTCCGACGGTGTCAGAAGTGTTTAGTGTCCTCTGCAATTTCTTGTTTATTTCTTACTTGTTAACTTGTTATTTTTTTTTTTGAGTTTTGTTACGTTTGTTGTTTTTGTTAACGTTACTTTTTGTTTTGTTACGTTGGTGTTTGAGATGGATCCCCAACCGTCCACCTCTAAAGAGGGTTGTCTCCCTCCAAAAAGAAAGCGTCGATCATTTGTTGTGAGTGAGAAACAAATGGTTTTCAATGGATATAATTATGTATGGAATCAAAATGCAGCAAAACCTTTTGATGTTCCAAAGAAAGATGAGTGTGTGAAGACAGTATCTCAAATTTTGGGAATCTCGACTAGATCTGTGTATCGGATACTGAAAGAACAAAAGGAGAACGTTCAGTTATCAAATCGGAAAAAATCTGGACACAAACTGACATTCAAAGATAAAATTGATGATTTTGACTTTTCGGCGATACGTCGTCGTTTTTATTAGAAGGACCCTCCAACTATTGCCAAGGTATGTAAATCTATAAAATTATAATACAATACAAAATATATAATTGCACATCATACATAAATAATAATAATTCATACACATTGTCATTGTCTCGCTGTTGTTTACAAAAATTAAATACTTTTAATATTTTACAGGTTCATCAGGTTGTAAATGATGACCCTGACCTATACCATGCGAGCAGTTTTAATACATTTAAAATTTAAATATGGCAGCGCAAACGACGCAGCTGCTTGACAGACCGTCAAGACTTAATTCTGTGGCGTAGACGGTACTTGACGACAATCAAAGAATGAAAAATAATTTATTATCAAGATGAGACCTGGATTATTGAAGGATATTGAATATTTTTATTTACAACTGTATTTTGTGATTAGTTTTTCAGTGTCAAAATGTATTATATTATTTATATGATTTTGTGTATTAACAGGTCATACAACTGGTAAAGTTTGGGTGGATATAACAATAGAATCTTCCAAACAAGCGTTTTGTAAAGGTTTGACAACAGGCCTAAAGATCCCAACCGGTAAAGGTCGACGCCTAATAATTTCACATATAGGCAGTGATGAAGGTTTTGTAGAAGCCGGTTTACTTATTTTTGAATCGAAGAAAAATAGTATGGACAATCATGAAGAAATGAACTCGGAGTGTTTTGAGAAATAGCTTAAAAGCATTTTGCCAAATTTAAAGCCAAATGCGGTGCTAGTATTAGATAACGCACCGTACCATTCAAGAAAAGTCGAGCGTATCCCCAGTTCAAACTGGCGGAAGGCTGATATTATTGTGATTATATGAAAAACAAATCAACCTACAATGATCAAGGCTCAATTAATAGAAATAGTAAAATTACAAAAAACTAATTACGAACGCTATGCTGTGGAAAAGTTGGCCGCTGAATACGGTGTCACAATCCTGCGTCTGCCCCCCTATCACTGCGAGCTCAACCCAATAGAGTTAGTTTGGGCCCAAGCAAAGGGGTACGTCGCCAGGAACAATGAAACTTTTAAAATAAAAGACGTAAAAAAAAATATTTTATATTTAAAGAAGGTCTGAAGGAAGTGACACCTGAAAATTGGAGACAGTGCATTAACCATGCCATAAAAGTTGAAAACAAAATGTGGCAACTCGACCACACCATAGATGAATGTGTGGTGAATCCACATTCATTAAAAATGTAACTGATTTCGATTCCGATTCTAAATATACCGATTCAGAATCGGAATAGGAATCAGTATCAACTGTAATGAATAAAAACGTATAAAATGACTTTTATTGTTTTACTTAACTCCTCTGAATCTCTTTAAACATTTTTTCCAGCTTTTGTAATAATGTTGTAGTGAGCAATTTGAATATGCTGGTAAGGTCCATATTTCTAAAATCATATTATTTCATATGGTATGTATTACATATTTACAATAAAAAAACGCTTTGTTGCCTAATAAAATAAAGCATGACTAAATGTCCAAGTCTATTGATTGCCGAACTATTGGATCGGGTCACCCTTTTTTGTATCAGTGACAGTTGCACTTGTCATTTTACTGACTCGAATAAATAATCGTACATTAGAAAGAAAAAAAGAAAGAAAGAAAGAAAAATAAATTTATTTGAGACAACACACACACAACAAACAGAACAAAACACACATATTTTTTTTTTGTCTCAAATCGGTCCCAACTCAGCATGTGCTGATGTTGCCATCAGCGCTGGTCTATAGCGTATGGTACATACAGACAAACACACAAAAATTCTAAAATCTATATTTTTGGCTTGGGTATCGACTGTAGTTCACACCCCAAGTATTCTTTTAAAAAAATATTCAATGTTCAGTTTTGACTTTCCTACCATTTTATTATATGTATAGATTATGGTGTGAGACGTCACGGAGCTCGATCGAAGTTGACTCACGTCGAACTTCAGTCACTACGTACGCTCGCGCCCGAGCGCTAGAGCTCTGACGTCACAGCCACCACGCGGCCATCCGAAAATTCGTTTAGTAAATTTTTCATAACTTCGTCAATGTTTGTTGTAGAACAAAAATTATACCACTGTATTTTATGGAATCCTTAACTCTATAAAGCTGCATTCTCAAATAAAATCGTAACGGATTCTCATTATCAAAAAGTAGTCTTTTAGTGTTTTAATCTAATCGTTAATATCTTTAAAAGGCGATATTTACCCCGTTTTTTTTATATACTTGCATTCGGTGCAAGTAATGATTTTACTAGTAAACCTTCCATGAATATTTATTTAACTGATAGTGAAAACCACATCAAAATCGCTGCGTGATTTGGAAGGACTGGCAATACTTCTTAACATGACGTCTCATTTAAGAAAGCATCGATTTTTGTTTGTCTACTTCGTAATCTGCATTATATTAAATAAATTGTATTGTGTAGTTCATTGCGTGGGTTATTCATCGTTTCTGATCAAACTAATCAAATCCTTTTCGGGGCCTAATTGTGTAAGCGTCTACTCCTTTCTCAATCCGTTTCATTACATACAGCTTACGTTACCTGGAACTTAAGTTTTTCACAGAAAAGTTCCACTCTCACAGTAACTGGATTTTAAAAATAAACGTTAACAGTACTCACCCTTGAGATAGGCGCACACTTGGCACACGCGAGGCCTGCTGGTGGCCTGGTGATTGGCTGAGGAGCAGGCACTACGGGGCCTTCCTTTATACGATATAGGGTCGCAGATCTTGCCTGTGAACAAAACATAGAACCAGTCAAGAACAGATTTTGTTTTATTTATTACATTATTGAGACAGGTTACAAGGTTTAAGTGTGATTAAAGTGATAAAAGATATCCCAAAAATTTTGAAACAATTTACTTCTTTTCTTAAAAGAACTTACTACGATTATGTAACACTATATGACGTTGGAGGAATCGTAGAATACACAAAAACATATGAATAATACATGTCTGAAAAGTATAAATACAGCTAATAGAAGACTGAGGTATATGCCTGGGCATTATAATATTGAAGAAGGCTTCTGGTATCATTAGCTTCAAAACTCTTATAATACACTCTCGCTGATTATCGCGGCTCCTGACCTGACATAGGCAAACTACCGTTTTAGATAAAAACAACAGGCATGTAAGAAGTAGATTAAAAAATACAGAGGTCGTGGGGGTTTGGTCGGTGACTCGGTGTGGTTCGCGGTTCGCGGTGTATAAATGACGAAATAATAATTGTGTCATGTCGAGTTTCATCGCAATCGCATATCGCATGCGTTCCAATAACTTACCTATCTGATTACCTCACGGCTAATGAGTGGTTATTGTAATCGATACTCTACCTCAATGCAGGGAGTGATCCAAGGACGGGCGAGCTGAGCATTTGCCCAGAGCGTCAAAATTGACTTAGGGGTGATCCATAAAGTTCGTCACACATTAAGCTGGAAGAAAGGGGTCGAAGAAGTGTGACATTGTGTGACAGTCCAGTGACAGTGGTGGGAGGAGTACTATGTTTCGTGACGTTATTTTTCAAAGTCTAATACTTTTGAACTATTAATATAAAAAAAATATATATTATGAATTCTTATCTGTATGGGTTTTAGTTTGTTTGAATGGCAAATATGATTCTCTCAATCTAGAAATTTTTGACAACAGTGTTTCCTTGTCATTATCTATACAGAATGAAAAGGAGAGACTGATGTCAAATTTAGTTTAAGTTTAGGGAAACATGCCAGAATCTATACCAGTGATGACATAAGGAGCTGAGACATGGTCTTTGACTATGGGCCTCAAAAGAAGGTTCAGAGTCGCACAGCGATCGAGGGAGAGAGCTGTGCTCGGTGTTTCTCTACGTGACCGTATCAGAAATAAGGAAATCCGTAGAAGAATTAGAATAATCGACATAGCTGAAGTGGCAATGGGCAGGGCACTTAGTTCGGCGAACTGATGATCGTCGTTGTTGAAGAGATCGATGGCGCAAGATGTTTGCTCGTTCGGCTGCGATCGTTGAAGTTAAGCAACTTTCGCAGTAGTCGGTCATTGGATGGGTGACCAAAAATTTACAATCACAGGCTCCTCCGTGCTTCGGAAGGCACGTTAAGTTGTTGGTCCCGGCTGCATCTGCAGTCGTTCCAATCCGCACTGGGCCAATGCGAGCCAATAAAAAAAAATCCTGCTTGGCGCGATTTCATCAAGCGTGTTTAACGAAAAAGCTGGCTCAATGCATTTTGCGAGAAACTTGCTAACAAACATATGAATGTGTCACATCACCCCGTATTCTAATATTAAATAAAAGTCAATAAAAAATAAAAAGGAAAAAATATCGATATATCGATAATATCGAGTTAAAATGGCCGATATATCGGATATCGATATTTTCCTGACTTCGATATAAATATCGATATTTCAAAAGACTTTGCATCCCTAGTCACGGCTCAATCTCCGAATCCATAGGGAAGGAGCCTGTGCCCCAGCAGTGGGGACATTAATAGGCTGGTTAAAAATTAAAAATTCAATATTGCTTATTCAGTCTAGGCTGTTAGCACTTGTGAATGTCGAAAAGCTACGCTATCGGTTCGCAAATCTACGGCGGGAGACCTTGTACTGAGAAGAACCGGCAAGAAACTCAGCAAGGGCTGTTTTTTTCTCCCTGAATACAGAGTCGTCAAATTGAAAAATGACTTCAATATGAGGTAACTCATAAAGTCACTTTCCATTATAAATGCAAATAATATAAAAATTATGACTATATTAAAATCTGGTTTAACAAAGTTTAGGATGCCGCGTCCTGCTGTTTAGGCAAAAAAAATGAACGATTAACGTTTAGTACAACGATTAATAGTATCCAATGAAACAAGAGCAGACTCATCTCCGCTGGCAGCACCCGTTCACGAGCATGACGCATGAACCAGCCATCGCTTCGCTCAACCATTTTTTAGGGAACGCAACGACCCGCCTCACACGACACCACCGAAGAGATTACTCAAACCAAACTGCAAAATAGTTACATAGAGTTAAGGTTATTTATGTGTACGACACTGCAAACAAATACAAAACAATTTTGCAGTTACAGCCATGCAGTTTTGTCATTCAAGTATTCTTTAATAGTATAATAGCCTTTCTTAAGTAAACAACTTTTAATGTGACATTTGATCTCATTTATGGGTAACTCAAGAACAGCATCAGGAATTTTATTGTAAAAATGTATACCTTGACCCATAAAAGATCGGTAAACCTTCTGTAACCTGTAGGGTGGCAATGCAAGCTTGTTTCTATTCCTTGTGTTAAAATACATGCATACATGATTATTATGGACGTGATTATGATGATTATGGACGTTGTGGTTCCAAGGTGGTTCAATGGCGACCTCACACGGGGAAGTGTAGTGACGGTAGACCCCTCACTAAGTGCAATGTTTGCTAGTTTCAAGTTTCTAGAATCAAGTTCAGAAAATATTGATTTTTGTGAAGTTGACGATCTGCAATGTACGCTACAGATTTATGATCTTATTAAAAACAAATTTAATGCCTGCTATAACCAGTCTAAATATACGAAAACAAAAAGTAAAATTAGTAAAAGGGACAGGGAGTCGTGGATCAATTCTAAAATTAATAATATGTGCAATAAAGAGATTTACTATTTAAACAATGGAAACAGGATAGGAACAATAAATTACTAAGACTAGAATTTACCAAACAAAAAATATTACACAAAAATTAATTCAAAAAAATAGGAACAAATACTACAACGACCAAATTATTATTAACAAAAGTAATCCAAGGAAAATGTGGGAAATTTTAAATTCTTTAACGGGTCGAGTTTGAAAGTCTGTTGACGATGCAATATTAAAAGCTTTTAAAAAAAAACAACACAACAATAAAAACTATAGCAAATAATATAGGTGAGAAAATAGCGAAAGTTATAGTGACGTTAATTAATACCAGTATAAAAACAGGAAAATATCCACAAGAACTAAAAACAGGTATAGTAAGGCCTGTTTATAAAAAAAGATCGCATGGCAATTATAAAAATTATAGGCCCATTACAATATTGCCAGTTATCGACAAGAAGAAAAAGATAGTAGAAAAATACGTCTGTAAGAAAATTCAGGATCATTATAAAAAATACAATATAATTTCAAAGTCTCAGTTTGGTTTTCAACCACATAATTCAACGTCAATTTTGTTATCTAAATTTACAAATGAAATAAATGAACATCTTAATGAGAGAAAACATGTTATTTTACTATTTATAGACTTTAGTAGAGCATTTGATACACTTAGACACGACACGTTAGTAAATAAGTTAAAAAACACGGGTATACGCGGATCGATTCTGCGATGGTGTGAAGAGTACCTTAAAAACAGGATATATCGTGTTAAGGTTGAGAATGAATATAGCGATGAAATATCTGTTACAACGGGCACGGCGCAGGGTTCCGTACTAGGGCCGACATGTTATTTAGCATATGTCAATGATATGGAGAAAGTTGTTAAAAATTGCTCTATTTATCAATACGCAGACGATACATGTCTGATAGCAGCAAATAAAGATGTATCAGAAGCCGAAAGTCAATTACAATTAGATTTTGACAACCTTTGCAAATGGTCTCACGATATGGGGTTGGTAATTAACATAAATAAAACAAAAAATATTCATGTTCGTTCAAGTCATTTGCTTAACAGTAACCGATCTCTTAAAATTACTGCGCATGATCACAAGTGTCTACACACCCTGGTATCGTTGAGATGTGATTGCGAATGTGAATTGATAGAAGAAGTCTCTAACTATAAATACTTAGGGTTAGTCGTCGATGATCGTTTTAATTGGAGTCAACACATTGATACCGTGTGTGACAAACTAAGAGCTATTTTAGCTAAATTTGGAATAATCAAATATAAAATACCTTTCAAGTTATTAATTAATTTATATAATGCGCTAGTGGAGTCAATCATTTTGTATGGCATAACTAGCTATGGCAGAACGTTTAAAACTTATTTAGAAAAAAAATATAAATTACAAATCAGATTTTTAAAACTAATGATACCTAAAAACACCAGAAAAACACTTTGTAACGGTGAAGATATTAGCGGAATGTTTAGATATTGTAAAATTTTACCTATATATTCTAAAGTAAAATTGATGATATTGATTGAACAATTTGACTATAAAGATATACAAATAAAAATAAATCATAAAACAACAACTAGAAAAATCACTCATTTAAAATTTAATATTCCTATAACAAAAAATTATTATGATAAACGGACTAATGCATTTTTAGTACCATTTTTAATGAACGAAATACCGACAGAAATTTTGCAAGACATAACTAGTAAAAATTGTAAGTATAAATATAATAAATATTGTTATGACACTTCATTACTGTTCTACTAAAGAAAGGGCATCCTCCTATATTATGCGCACCGACAACTAGCATCGTACCTGTGTACGGCTTATCGTGTTTTTGTTAGATATTGGCGGGTAAACGTTATAACATTTATACAATTACCTTCCTACTTGTAAAATTAAATGAGCTATGGAAATTGTTGTGTATCGTATATTTGCGCTGTTATGTATTATTATGCCGAGAACTGGAAAAGTATAATTTAAGAATATCAAAACTATGTATTGACGGCTTAAGTGACTCAGTATCCGGACAAACCCAAAGTGGGTTTTTGTGATACTTTTTATTAATTACTGTATTTTGTATTATCAAATAAATGAAAAAAAAAGAGGAAAATTACAAAATTGTGTACATGAGTTGAGAGACAATTTTAAGGAATCTACTAGTTTAATAAAATTTACTTGCAGTTGCTAGCCTTTAATTGTCTTGATTGTTCGGAATAATACTCATTATGTTTTTTGGTAACTAATCTAATCACCATCACCGTCACCCAAAGACACGTGCAACAAACAAGCCGTTAAGTTTCGTGTTGTCTGTTATCGTAACTTCGCATCGCAAAAATGTTAAGAGAAAAGGCGATAATATTAGCTGCATGTATGCATACATCTATTGGATAATAATTATGATAGTGACGAGCTCGATGACGCAAGCGTTTAGCGCGTTCGATTATTATCTCAAGCTCCTCCGTGTCTCAGTTGGCCAGGGCAGGCTTTAGAACTGTGGTGGCCCCTAACGTGGGCGTATTTTAAAATCTGGTACCTAGGGCCACTAACGATTTGCACCCCCTCCGCTGGATGGTGACAGTCGAAATTTGGTGATATATTTCTGTTGTGGAGGTCCTGCCCTTTCTTAAAACCGGCCCTACGGTAGGCAATAGTTTAAACCGTTGGTCCCTGCTGCTTATTCAGTCGTGCCTGTACACCAATGCACCTACCTTCTGGGTATTGTCCCTATCTTCTTATTCTATCCCATATACACAGAAAACAATGGACTGAGCGAAGTTTGCATGAAATTGACAACTTTCTAGAAAGAGAGAAAAAAAACCAATGAACTATGAGCCGAATCTCTAGATTATACTGGGAACGCGCAGTATATTCTTTATGTCAATTTTTTCAGCCATAAGAAACTCGTGTTCCCCAGCAGTGACGACATCAATAAGCTACTAATGAAGATGATCGTAATCGTACCGTGTACTCAGCATCTAGTTTCGCGTAGATGTCGTTGTGCCGCCGTCGCGGGCGCACGCTCTGCCGCAGCGAAGGCCCGTCGCGGCCACCGCACCAGCTACCGACGCGCTCGCCTAGTACCTCCAGCATGTCGGCGATGCGGCTGCAACAACAATAAAAAATTAAGCCTAGCTTTTTATTGGAACAACCGAACAAATGACTCCACCCCGTCTGATGTTAAGTGATGGTGGAATAGAGATAGAAGATAGCTGGTGCAGTAGTTTCTCCTGCGACACCAGCCATTTACACGTTGCCCGCCAGCAAACTGTTTTTTTTACGATTATCCAGTTGACAAGCTTTTTTAAAACACTGTGAAGAGGAGTGAATTGTCACTGCAACAGTGCAGGACTTCTGGCGCTCAGTCTAAACCCGATATGATATGATATATAACCCGACTTCTCGCGCACTATGCCCTAATGTCTTGTACCAACATTTCATTAAAACACTTTAATGAAATTCTTTTTATAACTCAAAATATGTTAAATTTCTTTACGGTTTGGCAATTGGCAAGCTTATCTTCCACCTGTTTAAAGGCAGGGATAGAGTACAGTCGGCCGGTTTCTCGCTTAAATTCTTAACGCCCGTGTGGGAACGTAATATCCTCCACCTTTCAGTTATTTACTGTGAAATCTTGGTATGATTACATGAGTTTTGATAACCGAAGACCTTCATCGCTTTAAAAAAAAGAACAAGTACGAGACCGACTAAGACAAATACAGCGATTGTTAAGTTAATGGGCTAAACGGCTAAATGGTGTCTTCTGGTATGATTCTCTAAACTTAAACTTTTAACATCAGTCTCTCCTTTTTATTTCGTATAGAGAATGAAAAGGATACACTATTGCCTAATTTAAGTTTATGTTATCATACAAGTCGCATGCTCGTGACATAAAAAAAATGGTTGTTGAGATCGTAGCTATCGGAAATATTTATTTATTTAGTACTTTTAACTACTACTTGAGGTGCATCGACATAGTCATTAAAAAGAAATGGAGATGAAAAAGGTGGATGCTAGTTTTTTTTCGAATTCTACAAGCAGTTTTCTGCTTGAATATAACTCTCAAGGAATTTAAAAGTTTCTCGAGGGTTCATTTAAGCCATGTCGGCGAACGAGAGTAACAAACGAACAAAAACAATTGCAACCATGCGTCCACTCTCAATCGCTATTTCGATACTACTGATGCGTCGTTTGGACATTCACGCTGAAACCCTTTGTTGCGTGCCACAAAGACCAACAACAAAATGGTTTGGTGGCACCATCTGCCGACGTTAAATACCTACCAGAGACGAGCAAACTTGTCGGCGGACGCATCCGAAGATGGCATCTGCAGATGAATTTGTTGACGTGTAGAAGAGGCATATGAGTAGTGTATGCATTGACATCTTCTTAACATACGTGTACGCAGGATATTACAGCCTCTTACATCATCTTGGCTGTACTTCTATTGGTTCTGTATACTTGAATCCAACAAATTCGATAAAAAATAATTATTATTCATGAATGAATTGTGTGAGTAAAAAGTGTGAACAGGTGTTCTGCGAAAACAAATATTGGCTTGCCACGTAATACGGATTTGCACCACCTGAACCACACAGCTAGTTATTATATTTTTTTAATAAATTCATATATGTGCGTTTAAATAAGAAAGAGAAGTAAAATGGTATTATGGGCTAATTAGAGTGTTGATAATTTTGATAACCTTGAAAAAACCTTAAGTAGCAATAGTTCGGTTGTGATCGAAGACGAGACTTGGAGGTTTAGAGGTAGAAGTTGCCAAAAATTCACTTGCTATAAGATAGAAATAATTGAGCAAACAAACCAACATTTATATGGCTTTTAGCAATAGCCAATCACTATTAGTTTCAAAAATCTCAGCTCGAATCTGAATTAGATCACTCGTGGGGAGATGTAATGTAACCTACATTTTATCGAAAATTACAGTAAACTTACACAACTTTTTTTGATAGTTTTGTATTTCTGTTGGTGTGAAAATTTCCAGGACTTTCAGGGATAGGTGATTGGGTTCAGACCGGCAAGGTAAGGATATCTGGAGCAGAGCAACACGTTTTTCTGTGGAATAAGTTTCGCAACTGGACTTCTTAAATAAATTTAACAATAAAGGATAATTTGCGGTGCCTTGTGACAAAAACTCGTTGGAATTCCGCAGCCAGTAGCGCATTCTATCGCGCGCCAAACCATCAAAATAATGCTATATAAAATGTATCATAATAGGTTATTACGTAGCCATTAATCAGCGACCGCGTTTAGTTTCACGTGCCTCTCTATAGACAAAGCGTTTTCTACACACGCCGGCGGTCGTATTATGAAAATACAATACGTGTGAAATTGTTAGAATACTTTCAGAGACAATGCGAGGTACAAAACTTGAAACACATCGCTCCCTTATCGTAATAACAAAACAATAAAGAGTTCAACGTACTCGTTATCAAAATAAGTACATATGTTATACTATAATTATCATTAATAATAATAGATCACTTAACGAAAAAAAATTATCAATAAATCACTTATTATTTTGATTGAAAGAGCATGTAACATCCATTAATAAAACGTCCTCATGCTTCAGTTTAAATATGTTTGGCAGAAAAATAAGGTGTTTGGGTACCATCTTAAATAGTTTTTTTTAATCTGTCTTAAAAAGCTAAAGATCAGTCTGCCTTTAATAATTATCTATGCAATTACAGAATAATGAGGGATTTTAAAACATGAATGTGGGTTTCTCACACGAGGTTTATCAAAAGATAAATATATTCAAAGTTTTCAAATAACTAGATTTATGGACCGAAGGCCAAGCCAGTAAAACGTTTAAAGTACAAAGAAATGTCATGTATTAGATATTATTGAAAATTTAAAAGACAACAGACAAGGCATACCTATTTTCACCTCTATCTACGATGAATGAAAAACTACAAACGACAAGGCATACAGCCTACAGGCATCGCACCGCCTTTGCCTAAGGGTGAGTGAGCACACTAAAAAAATAGTTGCTAGTTTTAGAACGAAGTTCCTTTTCGGAAGGTATGGCGGTTAATCGAAATATTTGTAATTCTTCCGTCAAAGCCTAGTGAGCCAGCTAGCTAGCTGGGTGGTAAGCTAGGCTGGTAAGTGAGCGAACACTGACGACGCACGGTGGCTGTGGACTTGCTTTAAACACGCGTTCCCAGTGCGGATTGATGGGTAGGATACTTTTTTTACGCACAGTGCGGATTTGTGGGTGGTATATAAATATCTTTACCTTCATTCTAACTGTTCCATTCTGTTCCACGACATATACTCATTTTTTTTATAAAAAAAAAGGTTAAACATCTGTATTGCCAAAATCAGGGTTATTAATCTTCGACCACATAAAAATGTGTTTAGGACAAGTAAGGATTATGGTACTGCTTCCAAGCAATCTAAAGCAAAGATAGCAATTACTGATTCCTCATTTTCCCAGTCTGCCGCCCTTCATAATTTTGTATATTGAAAGCGACTAGGGTATAGTCAGTCACCTTAATTAAGTATAAATATTAATTAATAAATATTTCCAACACACACCAATTAGGCTAGCCCCAAAGTAAGCACTGTAAGGCTTGTGTTATGGGATACTAGGGTAACGGATAGAATACATATACTGTACATATGTAAGTAAATTAATATATAAATACATATTAAACATCCATGACTGGAGTACAAATACTCGTATTCATCACACAAACATCTGCCCCCACCGGGATTCGAACTCGGGACCTCTCGAGTCGGCGACACCATGAAACCCGGCGTACAAACCACTCGACCACAGAGGTCGTATAGTGCACAGATTGACTTATTAAGTTTTAATATTACTGATAATTTAAAAGTTTCGCAATAAAATATGTTGATTACATTGTCTTTTCTGGCACATGCTAAAATAACAGTGATAAGTTTAATATTTGTCAAAAAATCAAGAATAATAATATCGTTACAAAAGGTAAATGGGATGTGATAAAGAACAAATCTACTTAAATTTCTAGATTCATGATAAGTAGTAAGATGAGTGATTACTCATTTACGTCATCAATTATTAGATAACGTAAACTAATATTTGACATCACAGCGCAGAAGAAATGAAGAAAAGAAATTCATTTATTGATGTTAAGATTATCCTCACCTTTTTTCTCTAGAATCTTATTATTAAAGCTTAGTGTCTTATCTTAACCAATTCACAATTTCAATAATAAAAACAATAATTGCATATTGCTCTAAGTTGTTGTTTTGGATTCAGGTCTCAGGATAGATAAGATTAGGAAGCATTAATGGATTAAGAGCTTTATTAAGCATTGACACAAAATTTTGTTTGACAAAATAATTCTTTTGTATTTACAATATCCAACAAAAAATATAGAACAACACTTCATTATATCCATCAATATTTTCTATTAGATATTGGAAATTCTTTAAAATTTATTTGTAGAAATAGCACAAGGCGTATAATTGGATAAAACAATGTAGGTTGATGAGTACTTCCCATTAAGATGAGTCAATGAATAAAAAACGAAAATCATTCTGAAGTTTGAAGTTGTTAGAGAAACTTTTATAAATAGCACATTATCTAATTTGAACATTATGAAGCGAAACAAACTTTATTAAATTACTTTTTAGCCTTTTTGCCTCCGCGGCAACGTGTGCTTGATTTATTATTCTGTACTGTAGTAGTGCTGGAGAGGAGCTCGATGACGCAGGTGGTTAGCGCGTTCGGCTGCGATGGTTGAAGTTAAGCAACTTTCGCAGTGGTCGGTCATTGGATGGGTGACCAAGAACATCTATCTCGAGTTCCTCCGTGCTTCGGAAGGCACGTTAAGCCGTTGGTCCAGGCTGCATCTGCAGTCGTTAGCACCCGCCAATCCGCACTGGGCCCGCGTGGTGGGTCATGGCCCAATCTCCCTATTCCATCCGTAGGGAAGGCCTTTGCCCCAGCAGTGGGGACATTAATTGGCTGACGATGATGATGTAGTAGTGCTGCAGAAAAACCGTTCTAATTAACCAAGTGAGTAGGGGAGTCGACGAATTTTTTTTTTTTGACGGATGGCCTGGTTTTTAATTTTGTAGAATCGCAAGGGATATCCCCTTGCGGTTGATGTTAAATTTTTGTTGTCTGTAAGAATTGAATTGTTGTGTTAGAATGTTAAAGGACGGTCTCAGTATCACATTTGTGTGTACTACGAGTATACTCTGCCGATAAATTTGAAGGATCCTTAAATAGTTGAGAGATGTCCCTGATTGTCGCAATTTCAAGATGGTCAACTAAATCGCTCATCTCTCATACGAATATTACTGCAAATTACTCTAAACCTATGCAAATTGGTTATTTGATATATAATTTAGTTGTCCATTTTAAAGTAGTGAGATTGCGGATGCACTTATTCGCAGGACAGTTGATGAGATGTACATGAGAGATATATCGATTAATTGGCAACTAACTTAGTCAAAGGGAAAGCAAAGACATCGTATGTTTTCAAAGAAAATACAAGTGATAAGACCAGTTTACAAAATGAAAGCCGTTGCGCCGCAAAATGAATGCTATGAGACACCATAACATGCTCTAAAAATACCACATTTTATACTTTCATTTCAGTTAGGAACATTTATAGTTAGGAAACCGAAGAAAATGGTGGGTTTCCATTTTTTTTAAGGTTACAATGAATTTGAAGCGAACTTGATATATTTAATTACACCAAAGTTAAATGCATTTTAATCCTTCAATCTATGTATATTTTGACACCAAAAAAAGGCCCACACAGCATGTGTTAAATAACAGAGAAAAAGCACCACCTTTTTTGAAAGCACCACTAGCTGCGCAAACAATTGAAAATTTTATTGCATAGACTAATGAGATAGTCAGTACCCATCGAGGAGGATTTAAAACGATTCTTTATGTACTGCATAAGGAGATGTGGATAGTACCTATTGTTTACTTTAAGAAGACTTGTTGAACGACATTTATATTTCCGTCTCACAATTCGGTAGCAACCGGTTGCAATTGCAAGACTTTTAAATTAAGGCTCATTTACATGATGCAATTTTCTTGTACATACAAGAGTAGTAATAATTGTACAATAAAATGAGGTGCAGTTATTGATTTTCAAGAATTGTAAGCAACTGTTTACACGCGGACATAGTAAAAAGCATTACATACACTTCATCTATGCCAGTTTTGACAAGAAATAATTGCATATGTCTTTTGTTACACCAATACGATTATACTTACGGTTTAAGAGATTATTACTTTCAAGTTTTAATATTGGTCCGCGTGAATTTTTTTTCTTGTAATATTTTGTTAAGATTTAAACATCGAGCAGTTACATGCTTAAAAAATAAAAATTATAACTTTTAAACACGGGCTTGTATGTGCGTGTACCATTTATGGCAGAGATGATTCAAGAATTTCACTTATATGAAATCAAGTATTGAACGTTTTCAAATAGAAGTGCAATTATTGTATGTGCTGTTTACACCAAGACAAGTTTTAAAACAAAAGTTGTCTCACAGATCAAGAATATTGTGTGCTGTTTAGACCATGAAAGTCACTTATTGCTTTAATGTAATTGTATGCTACAGGCAAGGAAGGAACTTATATTATAATAATAATAATAATAAATTTATTTATTCAAGTAACAAAGACTTATACAGATTCTTTAGAATTATTTAGAATACAAATTATTTGAATCATAAAAAACATATAATTGATAGAATAAAATAAATAATAATATTATTATAATAATGTCAAGTTATTATATATAAAATTAAATATGAATTAAAATCTTAAGTTAAATTATTTATTCCATTCAAATCAATCACCTTAAATAAGTTAATAAGTCAATACATGTATCATGCAGCAATGATTCATGTACTAAATTATGTAAATGGCCCTTTAGATAACAGTGTTGCGGGTAAAGTTCGAAATTTGACGATTTATCATACATGACTGTATTGCCGCCAGCTAAAGAAAAATAAATGAATGATATAATTTTGAAATTCTCTACAAAGACGGCAATACTACATATTTATTTACTCCTTATAAGTGTCGATTCTGCCATGATTCTCTAAACCTAAAACTAAATGTAACATCAGTCTCTCCTTTCATTCTGTATAGAGAATGAGAAGGATACACTTTTGTTAAATTTAAGTTTACGTTTAGAGAACCATGTCAGAATCGACACAATTGGCTACTATATCACTGAACTGAAACACAGAGATTTAATAACGAACAAACAAAGCATATTAACATACAGAATACTTTGCACCCACCCAGATATAAAATTCCTGATTCCACGCACTGCAACTTCAAGTTCAGTCTGCATTAATGTATCCTGACAGATGTATTTTGCAGATAAAATTACAGTTACACCTACAGTTGCGCCGGCGGTGAT